ATTGGAATAGGCCTTTAAGAAGCCTACTGAAAACTAGACTTGGAACTATCTAATGCAGGATCTAACTGATTGTATCTAATTGATTGCAATGGATTTGTAGAGGCTTCTGTAACTACGAGTACTGCTTGTGCAAGCACAACCCAAAAGCAGAGCCCAAATAACGGTGAGAAAGGCCAGCCAGTTTCTGCTACAAGGCAGTTACCAACACAGTTCCTGTTTGGTGTCTAGGATAAACAATGTGATTCCAGTTTGCCCTCCAAATGCAATCTGGTCCCTTAGAAGCACACTTAAGTCCATTCAATTGGGAATGACTAAGCATCAACCAAAAAGAAGCATTACTCATCCTAATGTGAATTTAAGAATATGATACTGGGGCACAGTAAATGAATCTTTCAAAAATCCCAGATAAAGTGACCGAGCTGCTCAAAAAGGATGCTATCAAGTCTTGCATCAACCAGCCTGTCTTTATTTTCTTATGGGACAAAGAAATAGCTTTGCAAGAAAATATTTGCTTGAGGAGAAAATACAGCGTTGCTTTTAAGATTCAAAATGCATTCATATTTTGAACTTATCTGTCAGCTTCTAGCTCAAGGCAACAGAACTCTATTAATATTTATTTAATAATATATGTTTAATATTTTACAAATGTTACTACAAAGCCACAAACAAGGGTAAAAATCTTGGAAGTTAAAAAAAATACACCAAATTAGAGATGAATAGAGCTGAGTAGAGAAACTAATTCATCAGAGTCAAGAGAATAATCCCCCAATCAATGACCTGTTTTCTGTGGCTTGTTTACCTTTTCCAACAATGGATGTTTCAGATATAGCTTCCAATAGCTGGTGATCTTCTTGCGCCCGTATAACACAAATAGCTAGATATTTGTGCAGATGATGAGGTGACTGACAAAAATACCTCCTGGGAGAGGATACTGGGATAAGGCTCCATTTCATCAGGGTCTAATTCCTGTCCCTGCACAGAGAAAGCCTCATCAGCTCAGCTGAAAACAGACCATTTCAAGATGTTAGAAGACACAGTAATGGTTTCTGGTTTATAATGAAAAGAAATCCTAAATAGGTAGACTTTGCTTCTCAGAAACATCTCAGCTGAGAGATTAAATCTTATCTCACATCACTGAAGACGCAGGTGCTAACAAAGCAAATGGAGAACAAGGCTTTGACTCTGTGCATAGGCACAGAGACAGCGATTTACCCAGTCCTGTCATCACACGATGCTGCAGCTGGTCTGCAGATGCATTTGGCTCACTGTAGCTTTACATCCTCTGGAACAAAATTAGTAACGTAAGGACATGGGACCATGCTGTACTTAGCGTGTTTAAGATGAACAGGTAGCTTAAATGATCCTAACTCTTGCTGCTGTTTCTGTAGTTCAAAGAAACCTCTCGTGTTTCTGTAGATGTTTGCTCTTACATGCTTATGAATAAAATTTACCACTGAAAGAACTGACTTCCAGTGCCTAAATACTGCAAAGAATGGGGAACAGGCTGTGTGAAATCTGCTTAGAAATTCAGGCAGTGGAAAAAAATTTAAGGAAATTTCACTACATATCAACTCCATCATATCAGAGAATGTGACACACAACATCCTACTTCTTGGCTAGCCTGGATACCAGACCAGTTTGGGCACGCGGTGTCTGCTTCTCCACCCCTGCATGATAATGCGTATCACACAGAAGAATACTAGATGAAGTTAGATACTTCTTAAAAAAGGAAAATGGCAATGAAAGATGAAGCACAGTCAGTAACTTGTAGTCATGGATTGGAGAGCACCATTTTAAAATGGAAACACTATTGCACTAATACTGCAATTATAATGCAGTTTTTGTAGAACAATTACTGTCTTTATTAAGTGATTCATCGTAGGTCTCACAGTTGAAAGCAACACAAGTAACCTAGAGATGACCGGTGCTGCAGAGACGAAAATGTAGTTCAGCAGCAGAGGCAGGCCATCTGGCCTGAAATCACATGCTGACTACCGTTTTCCACGTAGCCCTATCTAAACGAAATGAAAGGCAGCCTCTGGAAGCTGCACCTCGAGGGACAAGTGCTTAGGATGCACCTGAATGACATGGCTGCCCACCACAGTATGAGAGCACATTTGAAGCAGCCACCTGTATTTTGCCAAGACATGGTGTATAGCCCCAGATGTGTGCCAGAAGCAGGTGGCTGAGGGAAGGGGCTTGCTTTTCAAGCTTAACATCTGTAGAAATAATACTGTGCTTCCCAGGAGCTCTACTATTACACTGTACATTTATATTCATCCTGGTATTATCTGGGATATGCTGAGCATTGTGAGAAGAGCTGATAATAAACTGTTCAAAAATCTGTTCATTACAGCTCAGTAATTTGTTTTGATATAGCCAGCAACACAGATCCAAGTCAGGACCAAGTTAGATGAGGCAGCATACATTATGCTACCTCGCACACTACAATCTGTTACAGATGAAAGTATTTTATGTAGGTCAGGCACTGCTTCCCTGGAGACAGACGAAAAGCCATAAGGAAATCAGAGCAGTGTTGGGCCTCATTCCAGTGATCCAGTCTACTCCAAAGTTTCAATTATGCAGAGATTTGTGTCTCTCTGGTCTTGTCTATCAAAGCACTCTTCCCAGTCAACTTCTGCAAGGCTAAGTACAGCAGACCGGACAGCATATATCTCATGATGCAAAACTAAGTAAAAGTCCTTGCACTCACAAGGAGACAATAGTTTCATCAGATGAAAAAAGAAAAGAAAAATCAAAGTGACAATAATTTTCAACTCATCAAAATAGCGAGCTGCAAAAACAGGATTCAGGAACAAAAGGCAGCTCTCCGGCCCTCAGTGAGGAGAACAGTGTTATCAGAAGGAGCAGTCTTGCATTTCTCTCTCCCTTTCCTTAAAACAGTGCCCTAATGCAGCCGAAAGGGGACCTGCGCTTCAGTCTTGCTGCAATAACACTTTAACTCTGACGGGTGAGAGAAAAAGAATTTCAGAAACCCAGAAGTAAAAATGAGTATTTTTTGTTAGATCTCATACTCTTGGCAGAGAAGCCTGTATTTTAAAAATAAATTCCTTTTTTCTTGCTATTGTATAACAGTATGCTTTTATTCTAGCAACCAAGAAGCACGAAATAGAAGCTTCCACTAACATTTCATAGGAGACTTCAGAATTTAATTTTATAACACACATCATACCATTTTTCATTACCACCTATCTCAGAATTTCTCGTCTCAAAAACCTGAAAGATCCTCAAACCAAACAGCACTGTATTCTCAGAACTGTATTTAGCTGTGAAGAGTTACAGGAAGAAGTACACAAATCACACACAACATTGCATATAGTAAACAGATGAGAAGTGTACAATGGAAGAAGAAAATATGTGTACTTATGCACTTTATGAATATCTTAACTCCCCTCCAGAGGGAGGGTAGCATAAATGCCTATATATTCCAGTTGGCTGCATAGTGATTTTCCTAATTTAAATAAACCAAGTAATCTAGAAAGGCTTTTCCCATTATGCCTGTGAGAAGCTATCCTCCTTACCAAGTCTGGGATCACAGGTAAGCAGAGACTTTTAGAATTCTGCAGAGATGGTACCTAGCACTGTTACTTGAACGAAAGAATAATACCAAATTCTGTATTTCTATCCTTGCCCCACATAAGTTCTTTAAAAAGCTATATGAGCTTTTGCTCTTTTTTTTTTTTCTATCCCTCCTCAAATACAACAATTTATACTACTGCAGAGCTGTGGATCTCCTTTGCATGCCATCATCCATACATTTTTGACTGTTTTTTTCCCCTGCAGTAAGAAGCAAGTTGTATTTTAAATGTAAGCCACCAGTGTTGGTTGGTTATGTTCCTTACCCTGATTCCGAGCTCCACATTCTCTCCTCCGTATACTTCCATGCCTTCATCCAATAAGCCAATCTCTTGGAAATATTCTCTATCTACTATGAAGCATCCAATCAATGCAGGACTTCTAGAAGAATAAACCAGCAGCAACCAAATTTAGCAGATACAATATGAACAATTTTATTATTCAGAAATAGATTATAATTGCTGGGTCAAGTGGTGCGTCAAGACAGATTCTTAGTGACAAGTTTCTCAAAAAGATTTATTCAGCTTTGTCTTCTAATGTTCTTGATTCTATGGTGAAATAAGCACCATTGAAGGTAAACAGACTCAAAATTATTGGACATACGTATTCACCAGAACAGGCAGGATGTCAGTCCTAACAACACCAGACCCAGGTGCCCCAACTTTCTAGTCTCTGTCCCTGCTAAGTCCTCAGGCTTTTTGTCTGTGATAATTAACCAGGACACTCAATGATGCACAGTTTTGTGTGTTTAGCCAGAAGCTAGGTGCATCTAGAGCTAAGAAAACTTGTGTCTGTAAGCTTATGTAAAAGAAGAGATTACTTCTTGAATCGGAACATCCAGATAAGGTTTTGTAATACAGAACCAAGAAATTTCTGCCCTTACCAGCATACTGTAACATTAGACCATTGTCCTGAGCCAAATTTAAACAAGTCACATACCTTTACTGAATCAGTAAGCTTTATTTACGTCATGACCTGAATTAAGCAACTTCTGCTATGCAGCACCAATCTTAAGAAGGTAAGAGTTCAGGCACAGAGGGTACAATTTTACCTTTATGAGATGCAGTGGAGGAGAATACAGAATAATTTAGCCTTTTCATTTTTCTCCTACCTTATAATCCACAATGGCAAGAAATAAAAAAGTCTCTTCCAATTATTATGCTGGTATTGGGAACTCTGGTAACAATAGGATATTAATTAGCAGCACAGGGGAAATCATCCTGCATTTACTGTGAACATTCAAGCTGCAATGTGTAGACATCTGCTTTCAAATTTGTTATAGTATATCTCAATCAAAAATTGTACAATTCTACAGAAATCTATATATTTATGCTTTTAACTTGAAGTGCTATAGTACCCACTTTATAACAACGAAAGACTGTTTCTGGTGTATTCATTAAGGAAGAAAATAGCAGTTAATGTTACTTCAAAAATTATGCTTCTTTTATGACAAAGTACTCTTGCTTTTGGTGTTGTTTTTAAAGTATTTTTCAGAGTACTTGCTTCCCTTCATTATAATTCAAGAAGCATATTGGCATATTAGAAGCCAGCAATGAATACATGTGGCTTTTTTTTGTTTTAATTATCCAGCACTCTCATGCAGTGTATTGCACTGAATAAGAGATGCCAGGGAAAGGGTTAAGGAACAAACCTAAACATCCAATATTCATGAAAGACATTCACTCCACAATCCTCACACAGTACAGAGTTCTGGGATAAAATCTCCTACTTTCCAATTCTAGGTCCTGTTCTAACAACCAGCATGTGGTTCAGTGCAATTCAGAGTCTTTAAGCTGACAACTCCCAGAAAAAGCCATCTGCCTGAAAAGACAGAACTACTGGATGAAAGATAGCCCTAACACAGACCGCATGGAAACTGATTGGTAGTGATGACTCCCTCACGCTGCCACTGCTATTTAAGGTTCTGCTTTGCAGCTGGTGAAAACAGTCTTCACACTTTCTGCAGAGAGCTAGAGTACAGGTACCAGTGATCTCCTTGGTATGAATGCATAGCTAGAAGAATGGCCTGGAACCTCAGCAGAGCTACTGAGAGGATTCAGAAGCACTACTCTGCTCCCCAAGACAAGCATATTGTTCTGTACCAGCCTAACAATGCTCTAGATGTGAAAAGAAAGTAGAGAGCTAGACTGTACCAAAGCAAGGATCTAACAGAGTCTTTGCTCACACACTATCAATGGACCAGCATTAACTCCTAGGACACAACACAGCTGTGAAGCTATGTGAAAGTATTATGAAGAATACAACTGTCAGATCAGTTCTGTTTATATAATGTATTTGTAAAGAAAATTCTGTTTCTGGCCCATGACCACTAAATTAGCAGACAAGGCACTTGGACAAAGCAGTGCTGCTGAGCATTCAAGTCTACCATTTCAGTTTGGCTATGTGTTTTGCCCCATGCTAATAACATGGACATTTATTTAAAAAGGTCTACTGAAAACAACAGTTTTCTTGATGACTGTGTAGGGCTCCAGAACAAAAGCTGAAGAGGACAGCTCAAGGACATTTAACTAATTTAACATTACAGTCAGTAAAACCTATTACGTAGCTGAGATCACTCACCATCTGTCCTATCTAGATGAGCATTGCCAGTGACACACTGATCTAGGTCACAGTCGCATGTTACCTTATTGGAGCAGTTGTGTTCTCCAGCTTCCACCAGGACTTAGGAGGGTTCAGGTATCGGCACCACAGTTCCCAGTCAAACCCCTGCGCTGAGAGGGGATACTCCTCTATTTCAAAATTATCATACTTGATGTTATCAAATGATGGAGAAATTACTCTTTTTCTGTTTTCTTTTATCCTAGTGAGCACTGGTTCAGCCCTATAAAAACAAAACCAAAAAAGTTAAGATTACATCAGTAGAAGCATAGCACTGATGGAAATCATAGAATAGTTTGGGTTGGAAGGGACCTTTAAAGGTCATCTAGTCCAACCCCCCAAATAAATAGCTGCTTATGATGTGTATTTCAGAATGGGTAAAGTTTACAGCTGTTACCTATTCAGAGCTCCCTTTGCTTTGAGATGGGGTTTGACAGAGCACGATCTGCCTCAAAATAACACACTGCAATATTTTATCTAGGATGCCCTATTATTAACCTTGATGTTAGCTGGTAAATGGAAGAAATGAGTATCTGCATATCATAAAGCATTTACACCCTTGCGACCAAATAACGATAACATCAGGCTCTCAGTATTATCAAGGACATCAAGACCAGAGTTAATAATAGATCTATCCTAGGGACAGAAGCTCCTGCCTTTTTACCATCTTTTTTACTCAAGAAGCAACAGAGATATGAAATCCAGACTGAACAAGTTAAAATACATGGTTCTAGCTATGTGCTACTTTTGCACAGAGCAGCAAATTTGTTTACACTGTAGAACATAAAAGAAACACGGTATTTTTAATTAAAAGATGATAAATTTGTCCCTATGGGCAAAGGGCTGCATTATCTGAAGAGGTTTTTAACATGCAGTTTTCCAATATAGTTTAAATACATTGTAATTAGACCAGCAGATAATTCACACTATAAAAATGGATCTAGATTACTTTACACAGCAAAAATACATTTTTCATGCTTGTGTCCATGACTGTGTCTGAATGTTCATTAAAAAGATCAGAATGTTAACTCACCCTCCAATGTAAAAGAGAAACACCATTCAGTTAGTTTATAAACAGCACTTGGAAAAGGTCCCTTGCAGAGAAATTCAAGGAGACACCTACCATCCCACATTGAATTCCACATGGGCATCAAAGAGAGCAACTACTGGTGCTGTGGCTACTCTCCATCCACTAACACGAGATCGAATCAGCCCCTCTTGTTTGCTGTGTCGAACAACCTTGATGAAACCAGGTTTACGGGCATTCACTTCATCAACATACTTCTTTAGTTTCTCCTTCAGTTCTTCTGTGGAAAGGAAAGAATTCTATGTTAACAAGAAATATCAGCTCGACAAGATGTAAAAACCTGTTCTTTCAGCAAAACAGGAGTCATCACACATGGAAATACTCCCTTTTGATTCAACTACTAAGAATTCTCAAATAGCCAAGTCTAAAAGGAGGCAAACAAAAAGTAGAAGGACCACAAATTATACTGTAATAAAAAATTCCAGGTGTAACTGTTTAGCCTACATGACTGACATCAGAACCCTGCCACTGTTTAACATTAACATGCCACAAAATCAATCATTCGATCAAGTACCATAGCTACATAAGTGCATATTATGTTACTGTAGCAACAAACAAGATAACGATCTTCTATTCCCAGAAAAATATGCCCAAGTATCGTCCATGAACTTTCTTTACCAATATTTCAATTAAAAAAAATAAAATTAATTATTTATCCTTTTTCCATTTTTCTTTCTAAACTTCGACACCTCTTTTCTAGCTCTACTAAAAAGTTCCATGACTTCTGCTCTTTTCTCAGCAGAACAAAAACCAGTAAAAGTACTGGAGGAGAATCATTCCTAATTAAAATATGGTAATTTTTAAACCAACAGCTATCATAACTCTGGTTTAAAGACCATTGCATGAGAAAATCCAATATGGAGAGCTGAAATATGCTGTTAACTAATATTAACAACTGAAAACACTTGTTTATTAGCATTGCTATGTTCTATTTATGTTATGGTACCACTCAGAATTCCCTTGGCATTATTAAGTTCCCTTTCTTCCAGATCTCTCCACAAATCCAGAAATGTCTTGGCTGTGATGCAGAATAACGCTCCTGTGGTTACGATGCTAAACTGGATATCATCAAATCTGCATTAAAAGCTCAATGCTGACTAGCCATTTCTGTGAAATCTTGAGCAAGCCACTTAACTTCTCCATAATCAATTCCCCATCTGCAAAATGGGATCACCACACTTATTGCTTCTTTTCAGTCTATTTAGACTTTAAGCTCTAGAGAGCAGCAGTTTTCTTTTTCTCTGCATTTGGCCAGTACCCAGCGCTCTGGAGCACTGAGCTGAGTGGAGGCTGCATCAGACAAGGGACGGCACCAGAGCCCAGCAGAGGAAGGAGCAGCACCCAGCAGTCAGCAGTGTGGGAGGGAGTACAACTTCTGCCATGTTGGCTGGCCCAAATTGCTTCCCAATAAAATAGAACAGGGTTTTTCTTTTAAACCTAACCAATGAGATTTTCTCTTCTGTTTTGCTGGCATTAGCAGTACAACCTGCTCGTAGCTACACGCCACGGGGACACTTCCGCATTGAGCCCAGGTAGCTTCTCAACATGGTAAGCCAACCACTCTGGGAACTGGTCGTCTCAAACAGATCTGGACAACATGCACAATAGAACAGTTAATGCAACAGAAAAGTAAAAGCAAGCACACTTCATTAGCCACATTAAATGTTCATCCTTGGAAAGGAGGTGGATGTGTCCTCTCTTGGGCTGACAAAGAGGAACAGAGCTGTTTCACAAGTGGTCCTCTAACCTAAAGACTGTTACAACCCGTATTACCTTAGTGGACCTACTTCTCTGAGTATATGGAGGAAAGGACAAGATGGTCAAGTACAAAGATTCCTTAAATTCACCCCTCTTCGTAAAGACTCTCAGATAGCCACCAGGCATGCTGCTCTTATAGCTGGTTCCACTGGCATTGCAGGGCTGTGCATGCCACGTACCTTTGCATAAATGAACTCTCTGCACGAAAGCAAGAGCATACCAAAGAAAAGTGCTGATACTTACAGTTTTTCATAAAGAACAAGAATTAAAAAAATAATCTTCTGATGATCACGACCATCACAGTACTTAAACTGCAGCTATATTTTATGAACAGACTCAATATATTCCTAAAATTTTCCACATTATATTGCCAGGCACTTACACACATAGCATAGAGCACTATTCTATTTTGTATCAGATTTGTTGCGTGCAAAGCCACATGTTCCTATTGTTCATCCCCTAACACACAGAAATCTGTAGCAAGCAAAAAACTATCAAGCCAGCCATTAGCTAACAGCACTTTAAATTCAAAAGAAGACATTTATGTTACTGAAATTGTGCCCACCTAAAAATAGTGCAAAACAGTTCTCTATTCCCAAAATGTAACACTGTGAAGGGTGAATATCAAAACATGAAGATCAAAGCTTTTTTCTCAGTATAAGTGACTGTTCACAGCTTTGCAATACCAGGAAGCTTTATTGGCCACAACAATGCAGCATCACCATGGAGTATAAAATATACAAAAGGAAAGCCAGCTCTAATCAAGGACTTGAAAATCAGTGCCCTTGATAGAGTCATTGTTCTCTCAATCATCTTCGTTTTTATCGAGTGGGCTATTCTTACTCCTGTCATATACTTTTCCTAAAGTAGACTGACTTTATAAGCTTGAGTAAACACAAAATCTTTTTCTTAGCTAGGTGTAGTACAGAAGTAGGTGGAAAAGGAACAGAACCCAAATCTTGGCTTGCCACCAGCATGACTTCAGCTGCACATTATAGCTGTGACATTTACTAGGCAGTACACACTTGTAATTTTCCGGTTACACTGCAGTTTTTTGCAAATGAAGTGAATGGCCTGAGAGAGTCTCAGGGGAACCTTAGACGCTTACCCGTGGCCAGTCAGTATGGAGGAATCCTTCCCTGGACTTCAGTAGCAGCCTCAGGAGGCGGAGAAAAGTGCTGCATTTTACCTAATCTTCAATACTGGCCCACAAGCAGTGACTTACTCTGTAGCACATCCACAGGAGACAAAGTAATATTTTGCAGTCAAGCATTTTCTGGCCTTTGTTATTTAAAACAGACTAGCCTTGCTCTGCGAAGACAGAGTGCTGAGCAGAGCACTATGTGCACCCTTTGCCTTACAAAACTTACTGGGCAGAATCTTCCAGAAGAAAAGATAAATCTACTAAAAAGAGGTATCATTTTCACTCAGCCACAGGACACAGCAGACATGTAAATGAAGCTAAAAAAGTCACTATTTTGGGAAGAACATTAAAGATGCCTTAGCAGTATACTTCAGTCAGGTTTTTTCATGCATTCCACGTTTTCCTGAGTTTTACATGAGAAATGTGAGTTCAATTGTCTTTGACAGTTTTAGAGCACCCTGCCCAACTGGACTGAATGATGGGACTCTCCCCCTAGAACTGATCATACACTTTGTGATGGCACTGATGGTCTTCAGCAATGTATTTTTAACCCATGCTCTGTTTTTTTCCACTTCAGATATGTTGTCTGAATAATAAACAGTCTTTTTCATTAATCATTGTGCTTCACTGCTTTATGCCACCATAGGGAGAAGAAAGGGAATGAGCAAATGTGTCATCTTCAATACAATGTTGATTCGGTTTCTAATTATGGAAACAAACAGGCTCATAAAGATAGATGCCTTTGCCTTTCAGCGCAGAATCTCTCAAATAAGGACTCAGTTTGACTAAGCTGAATGAGTATCTGCAATTGGAGAGAAAGAGCAGCCATATATGGAATGGGGAAATGGTGCCGATCTGGCACTTGGAAATGTGGCACCCTACCACCTGTCTCTATATCATACAGATGTCTGGAGAGCACAGCACAACTCTCCTCATAAACATAGAAAACATAATTAATGTGCTATAATTATGTTTAATATTAATATAATTAAGTTCTAATATTTCTTAAAGGTTGTTGATTTGTTTTTAACAAATCCACAAAGATTTTGTTTCTGAGGTTTCTCTATTCAGCACAACAAAGCAGTGCTGAAGAACTCATGCAACTTTGCCTTCTTAGGAAGGGGCAGAAGCAGGGCAGGACGGAGGCAGGGAGCATAAGGAGTCAGAGGACACCAATCACCCCACAGCTACAGAGCTTGTATGTGAAGGGATCATTTAGTTCATGAAAATCCCTTCACAAGACATCTTCCTTTCAGGACATGGTCTGAGAGAATGGTGGCTTGAGAGAGGCCCTGGCAATGCAATTCCTTTCCTTCAATCCTACAACTTGCTTGGCTTGTGTGAGTGGCCGGTCCTAGCTCAGAGGGGTCATCTGGACCACAGTCCTGCCTCCCCTTCGAATGATGCGGGGTTGTAGCAGGCCTTACAATATGGAAAAGATTTCTCATGTATGCCCCAGGGACCTTCTCAGAAGGAAAACCAGCTACAGATCACGCCCTTCATCTAGTCGCATGCAAATGGCCTACGTTTTGTACTCCTCTACCCTCCCTAAATTGGGAAGTTAGGTTAGATGCTCAATGATGTATGGTGCCTTAGCCCCTTACTCCAGTGTCCTACAGCAGCTGTGGATTTGTCCCCAGACTTCAAATTTTAAAGTTATTGATAAAGTGTTGTCATAAATAATAAATTACTGCCTCACATTCATAGAGAAGTAGCCTAAAGAACAGTCAATTAAGCCTCACTTTCAATAACTTCCATGTTTTAATGTACTCCCATTCTGAGTGCTTAAATGAGTCCTCACATCTCTCAGAACAATTACATTTGTAAAGTCTGACACTCATGCTTTGCTGAGACAGATGCATTTTACTGACTTTTTAAAACTCTTCCTAGCTGTAAGTTTGCCAACAGAGCTAAAATAATAAATAAACAAACAAATAAATAAAAGCTCTCTCATAGCTTTATGCATTTTCTAAAGCCTAAAAGTCCCCGCTGACTTCAGTGCAGCAGAATGCACACTGGATGTTGCTGCCATCTCTGCAAACCTTGCGCTTCTATGTTTAGAGAAAAATTTATTTCCATGTCAAAGGCCCAAGAATTACCATGTCCCTCTTTAAGCTTAGCACTTGGCACAAACGGCTTCTTTTACTGTGAAGGGAACAAAATTATTCTTCAATACAGAATGAGGTCTATCATAACAATTGTCCTCCCTGTGCCAGAAATTGCGGATTGACACATTATATGAAAGCGGCAAAATCCGGTCAATTCATTATTTTTATGCTCTAGCTTTGTGTGTTCATTGAGCTGCCTAGAATGCACCC